AGTTCCACTGAACAATAAGAACCTGTCTATGGGGTAACTGAATATTGGCAAGAGACAGGGGAAATATCAAAAAGTTTAACAAACAATAAAAAAGTACAAAACTTACTATGTATGTGTTATCTTTTCTTCTTACAGGACTTATATATACGTATTTCAATTTACAATGGTTCAGTATAAAAATCTACCTGACAGTGTAAGGATTATACACTTTCTACAAAATACATTGTCTTTATACACAGACCCACAGGTTCAAAGCTGGCTTCTTTTATTAGGTATATAATCAAAGTTTTCTTCAAATTTCATTTCGTCAAATTATGCAATCAACACTGACCGACTGTGGACTCCATATGGTCTATTTTAGACAGAAACACCCAAGAATATTTGCATCTTTAATTAAAGACAACTTGGAGAAAAATCCAATTTGAAGAATTTATATGGTACCAGGTCTTTGATCGATGGGCCAAGGTCTACTCAATAATGTTTTTAGCACCAAGTTGAAATGCTCCATTGATGAACTGGTTCACATCCAATGATAATGGTATATCGTACCAAAAATAATCGTAAAAACTACAAGGTTCATATATACATATTTGGTAACATTTTATATATAAAATTGGAATTTCCCCCCTTCTTATTTCAAAGTGTTTATTATTTAAATAAGTGTTTATAAAATAATAAGTATTAATGGTTATTTATGATAGTTGAGTTTAAAAAGAAAAAAATAATTGTATAAAACAAACAAAAAAAACATGTAAGAAATTGAAAAAGGATGGTACACTTAATTATAACACAGATCTGATACTGAGGTAGTGGTGCACATCAGGATCACCGTGATGTTTAGGAGTACTTCAGTCAGGATCACATTGATGTTTGGAGTACTTCAGTCAAACCTACTGACTGGCCAAGACTAAACACGAAAAAATGAACATACTGGTTACCTTGGTTTACTTGTCACGCACTAAGTAATGAAACATAAACTACTGAAGGAAAAAACATTGTCTCTTTTTCATCCATCAAATATGAATCAATTTATGGCGATCAGATATTAAAAGACTTTTCTCCAAGCAAGACTGCTTTGAACTATGAAGAATTAACATGATGTTAAATTTTCAAAAAAATATCAATGTTCCCTTCAAAATTTTACCAATGGCTTCCTTAGATAGTAATATTTCATGTCTGCGCTACACTACAAAACAGCCTATATACTGCATATATATAATATATCACCTCGATGCTATTTTAACGAGTGTTGAGTACCAGAGGATGGTTCTGATTTCATACCGATATATATATCGGGCGGGGAGGGTTATATATATATATATAGATATTTCCTACTTGTTTATACTATAGAGGTTACCCAAGAAAAATTTGGCAGCTTGAGAAAAAAGATTACACATAAACAACTCTACATTTTAGCACTGAGTATATGATATCTATGAATTCCTTTATCTATAGTATTTACTTCTCATGTAACAAAACAAATATTTAACAAACTAGGACATATTTTGAGCAGTAGAAATATAAGGAGAGTCATATAAGAATATATTCGCTCTAAGTTATAGCTCATCCCAAGATTTTTATTTATTTTTTATACAGAGTATATATCTATTTCTTTACAATTTATATGGTACATGTTTTTGGTGTTATAGGACTTTAAGTCTATTTCATAATCAGATATTGCAAATTCTATGAATGTAGTTACGCCCTGAGTGTGTCACTTAGTGTTTTGTAAAGTTTATAAATTCAAGTTATACCGGTATCCGACAAAATACAATTGTTTATATATTTCTATCGGATATTGTGTAATGTAATGCCAATACATATTGTTAATTTCAAAATGGGTTTACATATTGATAAATATGTTTAAATCAAAAATATTAATTTTGAGTAAACTGTGCTTATTTTGACTTAAAAATATGGCTGTTAATTTCTCTATGTACTGTATGAAATTATCGAACTGACTAGAGACGGTGTTTCTAAAATTTTATATTGCAAAATTATGATACCTATATTAAAAAAAAATCATATATCATACTTCCTATACGTCAAATCTGATAAAAATAATTGTTCGGAATATAAACTATTTACTTGAAATAATTATTTTACATTTTTGCATTTGGGGTACCAGGTACATACCAGTTATATCGAGAATTTTCTTTTCACTAATGAAATTGGTTTGTGTGAGGTTGGTAGAAAACAGAGGATTTTATATATATAGGATTGGTCTAACAAGGCTATGGAGATGTGGTCAAGAATGAATGAAAATAACAAGATATGAAACGGAATTGTTCTGTTAACCGACATCTAAACTCGTGTAAGGTGATAAATTGACTATATACACTATTTACATTTCCTTGTCACTCTGGTTTATCTCCATCTTGCTCTAAAGCTCCAAATCTTACGAAACCTTTCCCCTAAAAATCTGCTTCCCTTCAGCATAACTGTACATAAACATACTTTGCCTACGTTACATAAAGCCTATTCTTGTTTTTTTTGTCCTGCATATAACTAAACATGGGCTACACTTTCTGAACACTGCACAAGATTCACAGTCCCCTACTTTCATTTTACATATAAAAAGCACAAGCAATTTATATCAAATATTCCATATATGCATTTATGACAATGCTCAATTGTTTATATAATACTGAGTTTCATTCATAACCATATCTGTCTTTTTTAGGCCCTTAAATGTTTTTCTTGTCTGTAAAACAGAATGCCTTGAAACTGTCGGCCATTTCAATACTGACATGACATGGGACCCTGGACCGAGATCCTCCAGTGTTCATTCATCACATATAACTCAAACATACCATTGACTCTGATAAACATGCGGGACGTGGATCTCCTAAACGCTTGTAAAGAGTGGAGCGACACAGTGACAAACCAGCCTTATAGGATCATAACCACAGATGAAAAAAAATTCTTTTAATTAATTATTGTTCAATATATGCATTTTAAAAATCTTTGTAATAATTAAAACAAGCGAATTGGATAATATTTGTAAAAAAATCTGTAGCAACAGTTGCATAAATATCAGTTGCTATAGCAACAAGTGTAAACTATAAAGCTGATTGACACTGGTTTAACACAGCAGTGAAATATATCTAGAACTAAAAAAATGAGTCTATGACAAAAAATGATAATAAAAAAAACATTGCAGTTAAAGTTTGTCTATCAAGCATCATGTTAAATAAAACCAGAAATGAAAACGTCGGTCATTCTCTAACTAACCGCACAACTCACAACCTAGCAGTAAGGCAGCCATTATGGACAATTAGAACATGTGACTATCCCCATGACGACACTACTAAGCTTGAGGTGATTGGTTGGTGTTAGCGTGCTATAGTGGACCATGTTCGCTGCCTACCGAGCCCTGTGTAATCTGCATCTGTCCCATCTGAGCCGAGAGGTTCGGGACCACCCCTTGGGGGTCAAGTCCTGTTGGTGGTGAATTCATCGCTTGCGGAAGCATCTGAAATGAGAATGTCGAGCTGTGCTAATCCAATCCCGATAGGTTGAGGACTGGCCATGTTTTGTTTGTGCTTTCTGGTCAACCTACCCCAGTTGTTGTTAGCGCAATGTGTCCAAAACCGAAGAAATATATCCATCCGTGAGTTAGTGACAGGAAGTGGAAACATCAGCACCCCCTCTTGGCAAACAAATCTGTTAGTGCATCTACACCCAGTGCAGAGTTCCAAAGGTCGTGAGTTCCGTCAAGGTCAAACACAGCAAACAAAGTTAGTCACCAAAGTTTCTGTCTTCTGTTGTTTTATAACAGACACACAACAAAGGTTTTGTCATCCATTGTTTTATAACAGACACACAACAAAGGTTTTGTCATCCATTGTTTTATAACAGACACACACCAAAGTTTTTATTGGCCTGCTAAAATTTGTTCCAAATCTGACAGTTTTTCTAATGTGAGTAGAAAATTTAAAGGATGAAAGCTGTATGAGAAAAACACGGATTGTCAGGGCTCTTGAAATGGCAGACACGTCTATGGTTACTATGGCTACGCTTTTACCTGTCGCTTATACAAAATAAACCCCAAAATAACATTAAAAAATACATTGATTCATCTTAGTGTGATAAAAAATATGTACAGGACAAAAAATGATGAAAGAAAAAAAGAATGATTTTATCTACAAGAGAACGGTGTATTTAAATGCAACACCATTTTGTGTGCCCTCAGGCCTTTTCAGTAACCATGGCTACTGGGCAAGCACCACTCTGGCACCAATAGCACTTTGTTACAATTTGTCAATTTTTGATCAGGATTTCATGGGTAGGATATATAAAAAAAAAAAAAAAATCAATTTGAACTGGAAAAAAAAATCGGCCAAAAAAATCAACACTTTTTTTTTGTTTTTGTTATAAATGAATTTATGTCTAGGTCAACTTTTGTGAATGAAGTTAAAGGAACACAAATTAAAATGAAATTCTTGGAAACCGTATACCAATGGTTTACAGGTGTGAAGTGCACTTTTGGGGAGTGGAACATTAACATGACAGCGGTCTCATCATCATCACCACATAAATGTGCACACGCCAAAAATCATGAGTGTTCCCACGACAACGTGGTCCTTAATTAACACGCTCTCACTGCCACACGACGTGGTGTTAGTGTCCCTTGGAGTTGTTTCCCTTTGTTTCCTTTCAACATGCAGCAGTGAAATGATAATGACCAATTAACTTATTTCAACATAAAGCAAATTAGAACCAGATACTTAATTTGTACTTACAACTGAAAAAAAATATTTCAAGAAAACTGAATGAAATTTAAAAAATAAGAAGCCAAACTTTTGTAAAAATCAATAACTCTAAAATTTGAAGACAGTTTGAGAAAAAGAAATTCAGTTTCTCCATTAAAATATTTGAATGTAATCATAAAACTTTGGAAGGACAGACCTCCCCCTAAACAGGTGGTTATCTACCACCGTTTATGGGTTTTGGTCTACGATACCGGACTGGCCCGCGTAATAGGAAAGTGGGCTTACTGCTGGCATGTGAGGCTGCATAATGTATCCACCGGGTGGCATGCCCCAGGCAGGTGACGACTGAACTTGGTATGTAGTCTGAGGTGTCGACATTGCGTAGCGGGGAAGGATTCCTTGTGGGGCTGCCATCAAGGCCTGGGCCACTCTGAAAACAACCAATCAAAGCAAGGTTCATAGGTGTTTAAAACAATGAAAACAGGGGTTTGTATAAGATTATTTGAATATGATTGACCATTGTATCGTAAATAAGGTAATCTTACAATAGCTAATGTGAACAGGACAGACTTACACTGCAAGTTGCAGCTAGCAAATACCTCGAAACTCCATAGGACTAAATATAGTTGTCATGAGCTCCTGAATGATGCTCAATTTGTATAGACAACAACTACTTTGAGCATACTGATAAAGATGTTTTAGAGTGAAGAATTCAATTTCTAAATAAGACGAGACAAAACAGTAAAATGTGACTTCAGTGAGTATCCATTGGCAAAATTCAACATCAGGGAAAATAAATTTATAAGTTCACGATAGAAAAAGTAAATTGTTTATAAAAGGATCACAGTTTAGAGTAGATGCTTGACTTACCCATTTTGAGCAAAAGCTGCTTGTTCATAAGATGCCAGTGGAAATAGCTGAAATAGACATAAAAAATCCTCTGTGAGTTGTCTCCCATCATTCATAAAAATTGTTTATTGATCACCAGTTTTATTTTTCAAAATACTTTTGTTACTCAGCATGAAAATGTCATTAATAAATTTTGATAACATAGGAAAATTATTTTACAAACATACCCCTTCCCTTTCTGGCCAGATTTTCTGTTGGATCTGTGTATTCTTTTTCTTGTTACCGCCATCAGCAAACTTTACAAGGAGAGGTAATGTACAGCCTGAAAATAAATACAAAAAGTTTAACTTTCACTTTCCTTATAAAATACATTGCAAATGGAAAACTTGTATTCAACTATTTCCTGAAACTTTTGTCACGGGCAAATCTTTCTGTATGCCGACTATATCTCAGGGGCCTCGCCAATTAGCTAAAAGCACAAATCAATTTTACTTTCACTTTCCTTTTAAAATACATTACAAATGGAAAACTGTACTTGACTATTCCCTGAAAACCTTTTTTCACAAACAAAAATTCCTGCATGCTGACTTTATCTCAGGGGCTTTGCCCATGAGCCAATTTTACTTTCACTTTCCTTACAAAATACATTGTGACAGAAAATGTCATAATTAAAACCGACATCCAATCTAATTACACTTTCCTCATCCAAAATACTTTGCAAATACTAAATAGCAGAATTAATTTCCAATTGTTATAGTAACCATTTATCCTGAACATATTATTGATAAGCCAGACATTACAGTATCAAAGTATGACATTTGAAATATCAAAAGTTAAGCTTTAGTTTAAAATTAGACTTTTTGTCTCCATTGATTTGAGTATATATACAATATAAAGCTAGACCTTTTACTGATCCAAGTTGCCAGCCACAGACTAAACACCTCCAACCCATGGCAGGAATCTAAGTCAGGCCCATAACTATCAAGTATTATAACATTTAAATGCCAATAAGAACATTAAACCTTTTCAGAGTCAAAAACACATTAAATTGCAATGCCTTACAAATGAAATTGCATGCTGTTTCATAGGATAGCAATGAATGATAGATATCCTCTAAATTCTCTATCGTCTGCCAAGCAGCGAAACATCAGGCACAAATCTGATGGACAGATCAGAGAATGTCTATGGAGATATCATACGCTTGCTATAGCCAACTTCTGTTTCATTTAACAACTGTTTTTCTCTAACTGTTTGTCGTGTTTACTTGTAAATCCTACAAGATCGGTACAGGCTCCGTGATTGGTTGATTAAATATTTATGGCCGTATCATCGCCATGATGATCGAAGCCACCTGTACGAAGTGATTGCCTCGAAAGTACACCGGCACGAGTCTCGTACACAATGCACCAAACTTAGAATGTCACCCAAAACATTCACAGCATACAACAAACAGGAATTGAAATAGAAGTGTGTTTAGGTTGTGGTAGGGAGGGCATGGGCTTACAAACATATTCTAAAAGCACTGTAATGGGAATATAAATTGAAACTTCCAAATGAAAACTACCGGTTACATTCTAGGTAACTTTTTAGCTGAGCTCAAACAGAACTAACAAATCAATGGCAAGTAATACATAAAGAACTTACGACTGAAACTTGAGACTATATACCTTTTAGTTTTAGGTTTTCACACTGCATATAAGTAAAATCAAACCTTTTCCTAAAACAATATGTTACCATATCTTTCGACAAATCGTTACTTATTGGTAGAGTTCTGTGACCTCCTGGTTGCCCTTTTCAGCTGCCCTTACTGAGATCAGTCACCTGGAGATTCAGACTAATCCGAAGATTCAGTCATGTGACCCGAGGGATGATGCCAATTAAGTGACATGACTGAATTAGTAGAATCTTTTTTTACACTGTAATAAATTATCTGTATAAATAATGTTGACAACATATCGAGAGTGTAATAGATGTGCTTTTGTTTAAGAAAAAAATATACATTTTAAAAAGGAAAAAATGCAAAATGGTTTATCCCTAAAGTGTATTTACAAATCTTGTCCTAAAGTAACAATTAGCATACTACATACCTGGGAGAACTTTTCCGTTAAAATGGTCAATAATTTGTTGGCATTTCTCCTTGTTCTCCATGCGCGTGAAACCAACGCCCCGACTCGTGTTGTCGCCCGTCTTGCGCAGGATTCGTGTAGAGATGACGGTGCCGAAGTCCTTAAACATGTTCTCTAGGTTGGTTTCGGTGTAACACAGGGGAAGATTGGAGATGTATAGATTGGTGGGGTCTTGTTCTTGTTGCTGTAACAACACAAATAACGAAATGTTTAACATGCATAAAAGTTAACTAGAAAAAGTCATAAGAAACATGTTAGATATTTACCGATTAATTATTTACATTTCATTGATATGAAGAAATATTTTAATCCAATGTGAACATTTTAGTGTTTGAAATTAGAGTATTTAGATCAAATTGTTGGATTTGCGAAACTTGAGAAAATCTGAAAGTTTATCTCATTTTGTAGGCTCAGAACATAATTCTAATGTATGATGTCACCATATGGAATGTCTTCAAGTTGTTCAAGATAAAACAATCTGACATTGACTATCTGCATAGACCCTTCGTTCCTTAACATGACCCAGGTCAAAAGAAAAAGCATCAATTTGAGGTATAATTGCATTCTCTTAATCTCGCTTTCTTTCGAGCAGTGTCGCACAACTCCACTCTTAATCTGTCACCTGTTGAATGCAGGTGACAGTGGTTAATGACCTCACTTGGAAACAGCTAATTTAGAAACACTTCCAGACATTTACAAAATATAATGTACCTTATTTCATTTGCCACTTAGCTTACTAATGCTCTCCCTTATCGTCCTTGATGCTTTTCTCTATATTTCTTTATAACTTTCACTGCATAAAGTTGGCAGTATAACAAGGTTTTACTCTATAATGGTGGCAGTATAACAAGGTTTTACTATATGATGGTGGCAGTAAAGAAAGATTTTACTGTATAATAGTGGCAGTATAACTAGATTTTACTCTTTAGCAATGGCAGTATAACAAGGTTTTACTCAATAATGGTGGCAGAATAATAGGGTTTTAAGTATCTTGACTTCAGCCACTGGAAATTGTCTACTGTATATTTGATAACTGTGCACCTCATGCTGTCAAACAATCCAATGACCATTTCAGAACTTCACAGCATGAAAAGTGGCGGACCTTAAGAGGGCGCCACTGTGCTAATGTAAAAAAAAGTGTTATTTTCTGGTCAGGGACGGAATCTTCACAGACCAATCGATCATGTTTCTGAATTTCAATAGCCATTCCCTATGGATTGAAAGTCTTCATTTACCTTATCCTGAAGTTGCATATGAAGATTAATTCAGATAGACCTTTTTTATAAGTGTTTAAAATAAATACTGATTATTACAAATGTCAGATTTGTTTGGCAATTTTATGGATAATACTGTCAAATACTCAATTTTCAATTACATTTTCGCACCTCATTTATAAAAATTCTATCTGTTTTTAGCGGTTAGGGAAGTTTAAATCTAGCTAGGTAATCTTGACAACTATCTCAGTTTTCTAAGACCTCACGATGTGAAGAACATTTAAGACAGTAAAATTTAATCACTTCTCAACAAATCTCCCAAAACCTTTGATCTATTTCTGATGGTTAAAAATCTTGCATCGTGGGACACCATTTGATACGCTAAGAGACATCAACTTGACACTTTATTTCCACAAAACACCTATAAAATCACATGCTTCATATTGCACCAATGAAATTTTCGCTCCACACACACACGAATACATATCTCCTAAATCATAAAACCCAGCGAGAGGCTTATCAGCTTGTGCCTTCTAGCCATAAAGATTTAATGAAAAGACTTGGAATGGGAAATCTCCCGGACATCCTTTCTCCGCAGCCTGTAGCTGAGCTAGTGCACTGAGGGTAGGGATGAGCCCGGCGGATAAAAGACAAGGTATATTGCCAGTGTTACAAAATCCACATCAGGCTTTTTTGTTATGTAAATTTTCAAATGTAGAAAATGCTCCTTAAAATACCTCTCTGGGAATTTATATGGCATTTTTTCATCATTTACACGAAAGGCTTCAAATTTTTTAGGAGTAACCCACTCGGTTGCCTCAAGACATAACAATAAAAGACAACTTTAAATACCTTACTGCACTGATAAATAATAGACAAATTCCAAGTACAGCTGGTCTGTTGACCTGAGTTATACATTGCATTTGCAGAAAAAATGGGTATTGGATACCCTTGGTTCAAGATCTCAAGGAATAATTCTACAGGTCACACTGTTGTCATTGAAAGCCAGTACAACCTGATGTAAAAAAGGTCATACTCCTACAATGAAAACAATGTTCAAGATATTTGGTCCTAAATTGAAATAACTCATTCACCCCTGAAGACATATTTGAACTCTTCCAATTCAAAGGTTGGACTAGTTTGTTCTGAAACTTCAGGGGTGAATGAGAGTTAACTCATTCACCCCTGAAATTTCATAATGATCTATACCAACCTTTGAATTGGAGGAGTTCAAATGAATCTTCAGGGGTGAATGAGTTAAGTAAGGATATTCATAAGATTTGAAAATTGCAGGTGATGTAAAGTATCTATAAATAACTGTGACTTTGGTGGTCATTTAATTAAAGCAGACATGTTAGTGAGCAAACAATTCACTCATTCAACCCTGGAGACACATTTGAACTCTTCCAACTTTTAGGTTGGAATAGTTCATTATGAAATGTCAGGGGTGAATGAGTTAAAATTCATGGGCAGGTTGTCAGGAATTGTGCAAGGACGATCATTGTAGGAAGGAATAAGTGCTCTAAAATTGCTCTAAGACCACCTGAACCCGAAAAGTACGTACACCTGCATTCGACCAAAATGCGGCAACATGTATACGAACAGGCAAAACCTAAAAGTGAATTAAGGGGGGGGGGGGGGTTTACCCGAAAACCTCCAAAGCAGGAGCCTGATTACTCCCTTAAAATGCATCACATTTCTAACCGTTGGTGCCGGGGTAGTCATGCACAGATCTAGCTGTGATTAGCACTGTAACCCTGACACACAGTTCCAGCACCAGCAGTACGCCAGTCAAAAGTCGTCCCCGGGTTCTCACATCAGTGAAATTGGAGATTTCTTTGCCCCGAAAACCTCCAAAGCAGGAGCCTGATTACTCCCTTAAAATGCATCACATTTCTAACCGTTGGTGCCGGGGTAGACATGCACAGATCTAGCTGTGATTAGCACTGTAACCCTGACACACAGTTCCAGCACCAGCAGTACGCCAGTCAAAAGTCATCCCCGGGTTCTTATGGGAATATGAGTGGTGTGTACTTCACTTCTACCGAACCTTGGCAGTTATTGGGGGAATTAGAGTTTCTGTTTGCAAGTTGTATGCATGTCATGTTGCTGCTTTTGCAGGAGAGAGACCGTTTATACTGAATTCTAACATACTGTCACGTACACAGGCCATTTACATCATCAAAGATGGTGGCAATATGTAAAATCATTTAGAAAAAGTCTTTGGACATGTCTGTACTGGTTTCTGTGTAAGACGTTGGTAATTTTTCTATTTTAACTTCCAAGAATATAAATGGGATTATTTAAATTGTATATATACAGATTTGCATAATATGAGGAGTTCAATTTTACTTCATGAATATTTCACCATTTAACATTCCTGTGTTATGTGATTGCCCTATTGATTAGCATTTTAAAAATCCTCATATATTTTACAACAATCCTGAAACAAGTTTTGTTAAACTTATATTCATGATGCTTGTTTGCCAAGAAGCTGATAAGCTTGTATATAAATAGTGAATATCCCCTTTTCTTACCATAGCAAAAATTATAATCCTGATAATATTTCATGTCAAGCTTGAGAAATAAATTTTATTTGCAGTTTTCTACAGAAGTTACATTGTACATCCTCGTTTTGTTTTTAAACTTGCTGTGAAATAAAGACAAAAGCAAATCTTCCTGTATCGTCGGAGAACAAAATCCTCTCAATTTTTTTACGAAAGTCAATATAGGATGACACCAATTGTATTGATCGCCACCAGATGTCGTTAGGCTAGCCTTTGTGGGGAGATTTGCCACCAGTAATGTTCTGATCTCCTTACGAACTGATCCCTAAAAACAGATTCATCATCACAGGTGGGACTGAGTGTTTTCAGGTATGCTGAGGACAGCAGGCTTCAATGGCTTGATCTATAGACTTACACAGGTCACCGGCCAGCACTTATTCCTGGTTGTGTGTTTCAGTGTTCTGTTGGACACTTCGTAGTGGAGGAAGAGGAATGGGGAATGGGGAATGGGGGGTTGGGGGTTGGG